CCACTGTGACCCCCACCACGAAGATCAAATCGAGCGTGTGTCCCGCCCGGTGAGCAGTGTTCCCTCTAAGCTGAGTTAGGGTGAGCCAGCTCACAGGTTTTCAGCCTCTGGCTCACACATTTTTGTCTTAGCTCAAGAAGGATGGCTCCAGAGCAGTGGTTCCCTCTAAGCTGGGTTAGTGTGAGCTAGCTTATAGTTTTTCAGCCTCCGGCTCACACATTTTTGTCTCAGGAAGGATGGCTCCCAGAGCAGTGTTCCCTCTAAGCTGAGTTAGTGTAAGCTAGTTCACAGTTCTTTAGCCTCCAGCTCACAGATTTTTGTCTTAGCTCAAGAAGGATGGCTCCAGAGCAAACTGATTTATGCAGTGGCCAAATAGCTCGCTCACAACTTTAATGCCAGTAGCTCACAAAGTAGAATTTTTGCTCACAAGACTCCACAGCTTAGAGGGAACATTGCTGGTGAGTGGGAGTCATTACATATTGGGAGAGTCCCAGCGCCACCATGGATGACACTAGGTCCATCGCCTGAGTGGAGGCCACATTGTCCGCATGGACACTGAAATCACACAGGACAATCGGTCTAGGGTGTTCCAATGCCCAGCCCGACACGGCCTCTACCAGGGATGGCAGGCTGCTGGCCGGTTCTTTTTTCATCAAAAAACCAAAGATAAAGTACAAACAAAGACAAGTCTTACCTTACAGTAATTATGTTTTGTTGTCATAATTATTACTTTACGTTTGGTTTTTAATATGTTTTTGCTGTTTTGCTGTTTTATTATCTGCAGTATGTGATTATTTTTAAAAGGGAATATGAATATTTTTTTGCCTTAGATTCTGTACAATAATGAAAACATTGTCCTCTATTCTTAAAAAAAGTTCAATAAAAAGGTGTTCAATCCTTTTATGTGGGTCACATCTAACTATGGGGATGGTGGAGGCCAGATGTCCTAGTTTTACATTTAAAACGCTAGCTTATCAGTAGGCTGACATTAAATTGTTCAGTAATTTGTCAGTATTTGGTCAGGTTTTTTTTAAAATTTTGGTCAGTAAAATCAGTATTTTTGACCCTCTGACTAGTTTCCACCCCTGGTGATGCCAAGTTTACAGCTTCACCACCAATCATTGTGCCACTTGGGGGGGGGGGGGGTCACGGCTGGGATTTCACAAACCAAACTGTACATTCCTTTAGGGTTTCTCTTTCTGTTTGCTCATTATCAAGGCCTGATCCGCTAAAGGTATTCTGGTTCAAGAATCCTATAGCAGTTAGGCCTCATGTGCTTTTCCCATTCCTATGACTCTGAAACTTTAATTTCATTTTTAATATCTTCCTGATTCCAGTTGATCCTGAAGAATTCAAAGATGCCAATGCAGGTGGATGGAGAGCCCTGGGCACAAGGGCCTTGCACTGTTACTATAACTCATAAGACCCATGCACTGATGCTGTCTCATTCAGGGGAACAGACGGATGACGATGTGTCCAGCGTATCGGAACAGGAACTGGCCAAGGATCAGACGGATGAAGACACATAGGTCTTGGCCAGGTTTTGACATGACCAATAGTAAATTCAGTTTGGCTCTCGCTGACAAGTTTTAGTGCTAACTATTTAGTCTCTTAATGCAGTACCATTTCTGTGTTTATAAATGGCATAGGAGTTACAAAAGCCATGCTTCCAGCGATTAAAGAAATTCTGAGCCAGGCTTAAATTCAGTAAGCACTTTTGCTTTGATGTATAGTATTAAGTGTGGAGGGGGGGAACCAAACCCTTCATAGTAACTTATGTTCAGTGCTCTGCAGGTTAAATGCCTCTTCAGGCCTTCAGAGCTTGTGGGAATTTGTTCTGTGGAACAGCTGCCATTATTCTTTGTAATTACGTAGACCTAATTTTGAGGAATATGTTAACAGTATCATCCTATCATTTGTGGGTCACATGTTCCCAGTGCAGACATGACTCTGCCTGATCTCCTAGCATGGTTAGGAGATTGGAAACACTTCCTAGGCTCATGTACTCTTTCCTTATCTCCACTCCCTTTTGATTTTCAGAGCATGATTATGTTTGCACCAGCAATAACATGGTTAACTCTGAAAAATCAAAAGCAGGGTGGGGATTGTATGCACTCTGTAGTAGGATCACCAGTTGAACGTTAAGTGTTACTAGATCTCACAGCCAATTAAGAACAATTACATATCACAGCAGTTTTATATATTAACCTGCTGGATGGTGGATACAGGAAGGACTAGAGCCTATAGGATGGATTTCTCCCAAGTCAAGGCCTAATTGTTTGCCTGTGCATTACAGTACTCACAGCAGATAGGTGTGTTGATCTTGCTTCCTGAGTGGCTGTTGAAAAGTTAAAAATAATGAGCTTGATCTCAGTTCAATTGTTGTCAGCTCATAGTTGTGGGTATTCCAAGTAAAACTATCCAATGTAACATGCGTGCAGTATGTTGATGACTTCCACAGTGATTGCTGTATTGTTTCTTGAAAATATTTGCTGACAGCAGAGCTCACAAAAAGAATTGTCTTCTCCCAGACCCTGTAGCAGGGAACTTAAATCTCAAAGAACTCCTGAACAATTTGTCATGCACTGATTTTGTCTGGATACCTTGAAAGGAGATCTCCAAACACCAAATGACAACATGTTACCAGAGATCTCTGTAAATTAGTGTGGTAAAGGAAGGCGCTGTGTGCCCAAATCTTACCGAAATGAGCAGGAGTCATGCAAGGATAATATTCTTGTCTTGTTTCAGTGGTGTTTGTGCAGGGTCATTCCTGCCACAATATGCCCCCTTTAGTCTTAACACTGAATTATTCATGTCACTTTAGGAAAGAATCTCCTTTCTGTTTGTATGTCTGGAAGAGAGTTTCTAGTAATGCATGTAATCTATATGGACAGTGTTTTTTCCACATTCTAAAACAATGCTTTTATGTGGTTTCAGTGGAGGTTGCTGTACTCATTTGAGTGAAGGAAGAGGTCTTTCAGATTTCGTCAGGCTGAGCCAGTTGCAATATTGACAGTACCATTTAATAGTCTTGTGTCAGTGCCAAACTCCTGGACACTGAAAGTTTGTTTCTTAGTTTCATGCAGCATATTAAATAGCAGTGGCTAATCAAGTATTGTCTGTCTGAAGGCAACCCCCACCCCGAAACCACTTTCAACTTCGATTTTGACTACTTCTGGAAAAGACTGTGAGCTGCTAGAGTGATGCATTAAAACAGAATGGCCAGTAGTCCTCTTCAGGCCACATTTGCTGAAGACTGTTGAAATCATCGTACATAAAGGTAGAGCAGGTAGTGCAGGAATGATTGTGCCAGCCCTGCCCATGCACAATTGCTGTAGCATGCGTAGACTTCATCAGTGTTACTGGAAGCATTAGCAAAAATGACATTCCTGATCCCAGGGGAGGAGCTTGCACATGTACTTTGTCTGAACATAAATGTTATGTTTTAAGTTCTGAAAAACAAACTGGGATCACACTGCAAAACCTAATAACAAGCAATCACTGTGATTTGTGGCCACTGTATATTATAATTCATAAAAATACAAATGGTTCTTACCAGAGCACAAAGATAGTAGAAAAATCTCACAACTAGTAATGTGATCCTATCACAAAAATGAGAAAAGCCCTGTCCCTGTGATATTGTAGGACAGCTTTGGTAGTAAGTTGAACATCTAGATGTAAGCCTAGCTGATCTTCCTCAGAAGTTATTCTGATCTTCCTCGGAAATTCTCTCCCTCTTATTTACAACTCAAATTTTACACAAGAAGCAAGCCAGTCCATAAACATTTCCTTAATCAGGCTGATTTTCTGTTATCTGTGCTATGTAAGGACCATTTGTATTTTTATGAACTATAAAATACAGTAGCCACAAATCCAAGTGATTGCTTGTTATTGTGTTTTAAGTTCTGTCAACTGCATGCAGGTAGGGGGAGGCAAGCATATTCATCCCCCCTCTACATTTATGTTGAATTCAGCTTGTGTAGATCATCTGAAGAGGGTTAGTGAGCCGTTCATGTCCTGCTCTGTTTGACAGGACACTTCTCTTTTGTAAAGTTATTTAAGTGCTATGTTCTGATCTTGAGTGTTTGTGTTTACATAGCCATATACAGAAGTGGACTCCTCTAAAAAGGGGGACTTGCTGAGTATGCACCCACCTGCCCACCCCTTAACTTTTAGTCTGAACATGATGCTGTAGCTAGAATTTTTACCTTTTATCTTCCTGTTCAGTGACAATATTTTGTTTTGCTAGAAGGGTAGGGAAGTTTCTGATGGAGTAGCTCCCCATACAGTCCTTCTCACTTTCCCCAAAGCTGTCAAAGAAAAAGAGGTCAAGCAGCAGTTGCACTCTGCGGGACACTCCTGTGGTCCAGTTAACACTCTCACTGACCTTGGAAATCTTCTGGGTGGTGGTGGTGGTAGGAAACGGCATATGCACCTCCCTCCACTATGTGATATAGTATAACCGTGTAACTCGTCCTGTGTATGTGTGTAGGATCTACATGCAGACACTTTTCAAAGAGAAAATAGAGCTACACAGATATTGTGCATTGCACAGCGTGTCAAAAGTGTTGCAAGCCCATGCCTGTGGCCCACCTGCATGTAGGAAGCTTCCAAGCTGATGTATGATTCAGTCCTAGTGTTCTTGCTTGTGCTTCTGTTGCCCTCTGTACATTACTGTTTGGAATTTGTACTGTAGCAAGCTTGCAGGAGTAAGACCTAGCCTTTTTTGCTGGGTTAGTGTTTTGGACTACAGAGTTCCAGGCAGCATCTCATCGAGACAATGGCCATTAGAAATTCCTCCCTCCCTGCTGCAGTTTATCCTTTATCCAAAAGGGGGCACTCAGCTGCTAACGTTAGTTCTTGCTCTAGTTTAAACTTACTTTCCCGCATCCTAGCTAATTCATCTTGTGAGTGAATTAACTCTGGAATGTTTGGGGCTTGTATTTAGTTTAAAAGTACTATTAAATGGGCCACTTGTTTAAAAAGAGAAGATGCTTGTGTATAAAAAAGCCAAGCTGAGATTTTGATAAAATGTCTACTGCGGTGTCTGTGGCTGGCGAATGACCTTGTCATTTCCCTAAGAACTTGCTTACGTTTTACAGTTGTCACATGTGAGGCCTCCTGAAAGAACGTCCATATGGTATCTACATAATTTGTGTTACGTGTCATGTGCAGAGTCTAACACCAGGTACTTGGGGGGCTTCCCAGCATAAGGCAGTGGAGCTTGAATACTCTTGCATTTGATAGTGGTAGTGCATTTGATCATGTAGCTACCTCTAATTATGGGGAACAACTGCAGCATGGATGTTGTGGCAATTGTAGTCAGCAGAGCGGCTCTTAACTGCTGATCTAAATGGTGACAAGAGGTTTGCTGGAATCTGGCAAGGAGATCACTGGGTCTTGGTGGTGGGAAGTGCTGTCAAGCTGCACTCAGATTATGGCAGCCCCAGGGGATTCTCAAGGCAAGAGACATTCAGAGGTGGTTTGCCATTGCCTTGCCTCTACATAGCAACCCTTGACTTCCTTGGTGGTCTACCATCCAAGTTCTAATCAGGGCCGACCCTGTTTAGCTGCCACGGTCTGATGAGACTGGGCTAGCCTGGGCCATCCAGGTGAAGGCCACTGTGTCTTACCTCTGGTATGATGTTGGAGATAGGTACCTGGAGCCAAACACCGGAAAACCAAAAGGTATGCCCAAGCCATTCAATTGCTGTATCAGTACTATATTTCTTATCTCTAATGACTTTCAGGTCTCTGTAGTTTTCATTTTGTCCACCTATACCTATCCAAGGTACATGAAAGGTTGGACACAGCAGTCCATTGATGCAAAGATTGCAGCTTTTTCATGCCCTCCCCAGCCTGGTTTGTAGAACCTTTGTGGACTAATACCCACAAGAGAAATGGTCCTCCCCCTTCCACCATGCCATTAGTATATGCCGGGGGTGTCAAAGATATGGCCCACGGTCTGGATCTAGCCTGCACAGGGTTGCAATCCGGTCCGAGAGCAACTGACTCTCTGCTGCTTTCTGGTTCCTGTTTCTAATGTCGCAGCTCCTTTCCCCCAGTCTCTCCTATTTCCTGCTTCAGATGAGAGAAAGAAAGCCTTCCCTCCATTGCCTGAGGGCTCCTTCCCCCTTCCCCTCCTCCTCTGGAGTGGGGGAGGAAGAGAGACACAGAGAGGGGGGAAATGGCATCTCATGAGACTTTTCAAAAGACCAGCAACGTTTTATTCCAGGTATAAGTACACTTTTTCTTCAAAGAGGGAGGGAGCCAGCCAGCGGGAGCACGCCAGAAAGAGAGAGAGAGAGAGAGTCCTGTGTTTAGACCAGAAAATGTTTTATTCCAGGTATTGGGGGGGGGGAGTCCTGTGTTTAGAACAGAAAACGTTTCATTTCAAGTATGGGGGGGTGTCCTGTGTTAAGACCAGAAAACGTTTTGTTCCAGGTATGAGGGGGGAAGAGTCCTGTGTTTAAGACCAAAACATGTTTTATTCCAGGTATGAGAGAGAGTCCATCCCATGGCACTTGGA